GAGAGGCGGAGGAGATCCAGGGAACTGGGTCTGGGAGAAAAGATCGAAAGAGAAGAAGAATGATGATTCATATTTCATATCTAGTTCAAGATTTAGGCAGCAACAAAATTTTTTTACACACCAAACGATGTGATTTCGTGTGTAAGTTTTTATTTTATTTTAAAAATGCAGTGACTTCCTCTGACCTGGGAGTCACCTAGACCTGCCGGGTTTCGGGGGTTAGAGAGGTCAACGTGCACACAAAGTCTAACTGCTGACCTCAACCCTCAGAGAGAAGGGGTCAATGACCCGGCAGGGTCGATCTTTGGGTAGGGCGAGATTTAAAAATACTACTTTTGAATGCTTGGCAGGCTTGATAGGCCATACCAAGCATTGTATTTTATAAAAATAAGTTAGACCAAACTTATAATAATTTGGCTTCTATCAGACTAACAAGCCAAGTCAGGCTTGAAATAATTTACTTAAGCGTAGCCCATTTAGGCTAAAGCCTGACTTAGCGTGACTCATTCAACCCCTAGGCTCAACTAATGCTTACACGGTATCGATTTTCTGATTGAATCGATTATTGAAAATTGTGACAAAATATTCCACCAGAATCGAAATCCTAGAATTTAAACCTAACACCTAAGTTTTAGGGAGTGAAATGTTAACCATTAAGTCACATTACTTTGGTTGTTATATTACTTCTATTTATATATTTTGTATATATCTTTATAAGCATTTTAACTTATGACCCACTGATTTAATATCGTAATCAATTGATCCAATACCTCGACCGAGACGATGATTGATATGATTTAATAACATTTCTTATAAATAAGACATATGATATATACTTGTTGTTAAAAAAATATACTTTCTATCTTTTTGTTTTAATTGAGTCTTGTGTTTAAATTTTTTTGAAAAAAAGGAGTGAAGCATAATGTTTAATGAAGTTCAAAGTCTGTTATTATTTTGACAAATCTTAAGATATTGGAATATAATTTATTTAATTTATATATATATATAGGGCTCGCTTTTTCTGCAGTTACTGCAGATAAATTATCTGCAATAAGTCTAATACAACGTCATTTTGGGGCGGAAATCATGATGTTTTTGTAATTTAAATTTGTTTCAGGGTTATTATAGTCTTTATAATTATAATTATTTAATTTTTCAATCCCAAAACGATATTGTTTTGGAAATAAATGCAGATAATTTATCTGCAGTAACTGCAGAAATATTATTCTGATATATATATATAAATATATATATAAGGTCAGGATCATTTTACACCAGTGTAACTTACACTCTCAATCTTGTCCACTGATTCCACTTATATCTAGGGGTTCAAATTTTTTAGTAATGTGAACCATTTGATACAAGTGGATCAATGATCAAGATTGAGTCTCTTACACTGGTGTAAGAATATCCTGCCCCATATATATATAGGGGTAGGATCCTTTGACACCGATGTCAAAGTTGAAGTTTGACACCGGTGTCAAATTTGAAGTTTGACACCTCATCTAAGAGTCGTTAGATCAAAAAAGATCAACGACTCTGATTTGTAAGCATGCAATATCATTGATCTAACAACTCTTAGATGAGGTGTCAAACTACAAATTTGACACCGGTGTCAAAGGATCCTACCCCATATATATATATATATATATATATATATATATATATATATATAGGGTTTAGCGGATGTACAGTGACTGCACCTAAGGATTGGTGCAGTTATATAAAACTATGTTGTTTTATAGTGTGAAAGCATTAAATATGGAGAATCATAACCATACAAAAGTGAAAATAAATATAAAGCATTAAATATCGGAAATTATAACCATACAAAAGTGAAAATAAATATAATATTTCTATTTTCTACAATTAATTTTGAACGCGAACTTTCTTTATCCCACCCAAAACGACGTAGTTTTTAGGTAACTGCACCAATGCTTATATACAGTCACATTACAAATCATTTTGCCATATATATATATATATATATATATATATATATATATATATATATATATATATTTCTAAAATGAATTTAATATATGTTCCTCCAATCTCTATTGTAGTTTTAAAATTTTCTTAAATTTTGCTAGTTTTTTACATTTTAAATTAATTTGAAATAATCATAATTTACTCAGTTTACAAAATCATTATAATTTTTTTATTAAATTAATAATTTGTTTCATCTTATATGAAAATTGCAAAAATATACATTATCTTAAACAAAACAATATCCAGGGCCTAGATGTTATTTTTTTAAGATAAAAACTATTTTAAAGTTAAAGTAAAAAAAAATTTAAAAATAAAGCTACAAGTTATTTGATAACTATATAAATTTTTTATCTTAAAAGTTACTTAAGTTAAAAGCTATTTATTTTATTTATGGATAAAAAGTTATTTATTTAAAAAAACACATATTTTTTAAAAAAACTAATAAAACTTAAAAAAACTCTTCTAAGAGTTTTTGACTTTTTTTTTTATTACAAGAACTTTTATCAAACTTGATTAGAGTCCGTTTGGATGAGCTTTTTTTTCTTCAAAAACTATTTTTTTTAAGAAAAAAAAGCACTTCTCGAAAAAAATCTATTTGGATGCGTGCTTTTAAAAAAAGCAGAAGTCATAAAAAAAGTCAAAAACCTATTTTTTTCGGAAGCTAAAATTTTTAGCTTTTAAGAAAAGCAGAAGTCAAAAGTCAAATGTTTTTTTCAAAAATCAAATATATTTTTAAAAATCTAAATAGCTTTAACTTTTATAGAAAGTACTTTTAAAATAAAAAAGTGATAAAAAGAACTTTTATAAAAAGCCAATACAAACGAAGTCTTAATCTAGTTTCTATTTGTAAGAAAAAGAGAAAGTAAAAAAATTCAAACAGACAGTGAGGATCATATACCGTATTAATAAAATATTAATTTATAGTTTGTAAACGTATATCCAGACCTTAGTACAAAATTTAAGAGTTCTGTCAAAATCAAAGTGTAAGATCAATTCAGATTACACTTTCCGAAATTGCTGAAATTAGTTCTCTGGTGCCGACCACTTGGTCCCTCTCCCTCTTGGAATTCTCTCCTTCAGTGGGAAAAGCAGTTAAGTTCAAATACAACTCAACAGTGTCCTTTTTTTTCTTTTTGTAGGAAGGGAATGAATCATTTCAAGTCCCATGATTTCATGTGACGCAAAAGATCTGTTTGTCATGAGTTATACATATATTATTATATTATTACAATTTAATATTGCCGTGGGTTTTGCTGCTTTTGCAGTTCATCCAGAGAAAGTTGGAATCCATGTGGTCTGTATCAAGGTGAGATGAGATTGATTCAAGTTTTGAAGTTCTTTTATGTCTTCGTTCTTCTATGTGTTTTAGTTTTCATTTATAGATATGTTTTTTTTTTTTCATGTTAATTGAGAAAAAATATATCTCTTATACGCTTATCAAAATATATACTTTGAGGCTTTTTTTTTTTTTTTTTTTTTTTTTTAAGAGGTGAGCTTCACATGTTTTATTTTTACAATATGAGAAAAAATATTTTATGTGATATAGGAGTCATTTTTCCCTTTATCTATTCTTTGACTTTTGACTTAGTTAAACTAATTTTTTCAATAAATCTATTGTTAAATTCTGTAATTAGTAATAAATAGGTTCGTTAATATTTAGTTGGTTAATCATTTTATGAATAAGTCTTTGAGGGCCAACATTTTTCTTTGGGTAACATACAGGGCCAAAGCCCCGAGGGCCAACATATTTTATTGATTGCATTTAAGGATCTCTATATCATCCATTCTTTCTACTTGAATTTGCAACTGATATGACACTAGTCAGTATACTAAACGTGATATTGATGAAGGTTCCCTACCAAGTTACTAAACGTGATATTGATGAATGTGCACCATATTTTATGGATTTTCAATATGAAAAAGAAAATTACACTAACGCCGTATGGTGCTAGCCTTGCAGAGGGTATTCTTATGTCTTTTGATCTTGTTATATAAGAACATATCAACTTTTTTGTCCATTTTTTTTTTTGCAAAATACATCATGATTACAAGCTCAATAAAAAAATAAGAGAAAAGAATTATAAATTTATTTCATACCAAACCACACCAGATCCACTGACGGAGCCATAGTAGTGGCTCCAGGTACCTTGGCACCAGTTGCCTTTCAACAAATTTTACTTATGCACAAAAAGTTTGGTTGGTTATGTGAATTTTACTCTTACCTTGATATTTTGGCACCAGCTCCCTGTCATTTCTGTCTTTCAACTTGGTTGGTTTTGTGAATTTTTTCTTTAATAAAAAAAAAAAAAAACCCAAACAGTAGACTTGGTCACTTAAGCTCAATGACCATGCGCTGATGTGTTTTTGTTAAAAAATAATGGAGTTGTTAGTTTTGTAACTTTAGTAATTTATTGCAGGGAATTAAAAAATATAAAATATTCTAAAAGTAAAAGTTAAATAAATAATGCAGAAAATTAAAAATTAAAATGAAACATGATGAAGAAGATGGTAGGCCCTGACATTCATTATCCTATATTAGTTTTCAGTCTACAATTTATTTATTGACAACTAGAATACATAAAATATTAATTAGAAATCGAATGAGAATAAAATAATATAGTATCACTGTTCCCACTTATATATATATATATATATATATATATATATATATATATATATAAAAGGGTAAACATTTCTACAGTCACTTTAGATAAGGTTGTCTACAGCTATCATTTATAATTATATTCTTCCGGAAGAACATAGTTATAACATTAAAGTTGTTTTTTTTTTCTTTTACCTTAGTTTATTTTTTTAGAACTTGTTTACTGAGAGACAGAAAAAAGTAACTTTAATGTTATAACTATGTTCTCCCAGGAGAACATAGTTATAAATTATAGCTGTAAATAACTTTATCTAAGGTGATTGTAGAAATAATTTTTTTCATATATATATATATATATATTTTGGCACTGTGTGATTTTTGTTGCTGGCTTCATCACTGACCGGATCAGGTTATATATATTCTTATTGTGAGAAGGGATCATTTGAGTGTAGTATTGTAATTATTGAAGGTTAATTTGTCATTAAAAATTGTGGAGTGACATGATCTATATTAAAATGAGATGTGCTTTACCATTTTAATCAAGCTTACTCCGAAAACATATGTTGTTTCTTTTTTTTTACGTTGTTTCTTGTTTATATTGTTTGTGGTAAACTAGAATTTTGGCCTGACGTAAGAGAACCGAAAATGCCAAAATCACACGCTTTGGGCGTGGGTGCAGTGCTTGCTCTTTCAGGGGCTCATATTAATTAGATAGAACTCCCCAACCTCAAAGTTTTACTTCCCTTGTACTCAAACATGAATGAGAATGGAAGCAAAAGCTCCACCTACTCCAACTCTGAAAATCTCTTCCTCCTAATAAGTTACAAATTCGCTTTCAATCCCTTTCACTTCACATTACAGACTCTCTAGAGGCATCTTTTTAAATGGTACAAATATTCTCCACCTTACTCTTAACCGGTGCAAAAGCAACAAACAGACCACATAACAGGACTCAAGGGGAAAGAAAAAAGAAAAAGAAAGATGAATCCAACATGGGTTTTTCTGTTGAGTATTGCAACAATGTTAGTGATTGGGAATGGAGAATCATCAGAAGTGAAGCTATTGGTGAAGACAGTGAAGGGCAAGAAGGTATGTGATAAAGGGTGGGAATGTAAAGGATGGTCTGCTTATTGCTGCAATGAGACTATTTCTGATTACTTTGAGACTTACCAATTTGAGAACCTCTTCTCAAAACGCAATGCACCAGTGGCACATGCTGTTGGATTCTGGGAGTACCGTTCTTTTATTACTGCTGCAGCACTCTACCAGCCTCTTGGATTTGGAACCACTGGTGGAAAAACCAGTGGGCAAAAGGAGGTTGCAGCTTTCCTTGGTCATGTGGGCAGCAAAACCTCTTGTAAGTAACAATTTAATTGCCATATATTATGATATCACAAATGATATGATCATGGCCTTATTCTTCTTAATTCTTATGTTTGCTTGCTTGCTTGTTGAGTTATGGCTCTCAGTTACATGATCTCAATATTCTAGCCATGTCTATTAATAAAAGGCCAAACTTGGTTTGTGTAAGGGGAAAATAATGGATTATATTATATCGGTTCCAAAAAAGAGAAAGTATTATTTACCTTCCTTATTTGTATAAAGATGATCAAATTGAATAGTATATAACAACTTCTCGAAATACTATTTCAGGTGGTTATGGGGTGGCTACAGGGGGACCTTTTGCCTGGGGCTTATGCTACAATAAGGAATTGAGTCCTGATAAATACTATTGTGATGACTACTACAAATTAACCTATCCATGCACTCCTGGTGCAGCATACTATGGTCGTGGAGCCCTGCCAATCTACTGGTATTCATTCATATTAATGGTTACAATTTTAATAATGAAATTTGTCATTTTAATTGCTGCAAGTTGATTTATGGATAAATGGTTAATATTTTTCATACAATATAGTCATGTTAAAACTTGACAATATCCATTTCCAAAATTATTAGACAAAAGAACATAATTGTTTAATAATCTATGATCAAAATCCTTGTGTTTTCTCTCTTGATGCCTTCATGACAGGAATTACAATTATGGGAAAACTGGGGAAGCCTTGAAGGTGGATCTGTTGAACCATCCAGAATACATAGAACAAAATGCAACACTGGCCTTCCAGGCAGCAATATGGAAGTGGATGACCCCACCTGAGAAGCACATACCTTCAGCCCATGATGTCTTTGTTGGTAACTGGAAACCAACCAAGAATGACACATTGTCCAAGAGGGTTCCTGGATTTGGTGCCACCATCAATGTGTTATATGGGGATCAAGTGTGTGGCCAAGGATCTGATAATGAGGCTATGAACAACATCGTTTCTCACTATCTCTATTACCTTGATCTCTTGGGCGTTGGCAGAGAAGAAGCAGGGCCTAATGAAGTGCTCTCTTGTGCTGAACAAGCTGCTTTTAAGCCCTCTGGCACACCATCTTCTGCAACAAATTGAGCTTTGCTTGGTTGTGATTCTTGGCCTGTCCATTCTTGAATCCTGGAAAATCTAATAAAGGAGGGAAAGTAGATAATTTCAACTACTTTTGCTTTCATATGAGAGTGAAATGAGCTTGGAGTGGACACTAATAGTTATTGTGTATAGATTGTTACACTGCTATATATATCTTGGCATTTGATGTTTTTCCATTCCTGTATAATTTGAATATATTTTTGGTACAATGTATAAATTGAATACTTGATCATTAAGGATTGTCTGAACAATTTTGTTGACATGTGTATGTTGTGCATTTCACTAATCAGAATGGTATAAAGTTTCACTCAAATAATCTTCATTTTCATTTATTACTGTAACACTTAACTGCGAGCGTGTCCATGTATTTTTTTGTCTAGAATGTGCTAGTGCCGAAAAGGTAAAAACTGCATACTTTGGGAAACAATCTATTGAAAATTTGAAATATGACGTCATCTCTTAAATAATTTTTTATAGTAATATTTACTCTTATTTTCTACTAATTTTTTAAATAAAGATTTCAATTACTTAAACGACTTGTCTAATGTCCCACGAATTGATTTGCACCCATTTACTTTTCGCTATCAGATCATTGGCTAAACGAGTTGTGCTAAAAGCCTTAAGGGGTGTTTGGTAGCGGCTTTTAGTTTCTTTCCCCAGGCAACTTGAAATGGATTTTGAATTTAACTATGTTTGGTAAGAGAGTTAACAACATTTAGGTAGCAGAATCCTTTGCCCATGCATCGCGTTTAGTTTGCAAAATTTCTTTAAAAACACTGATTCAGAAACCCATATTGATGGTGGTATTTTGGGTTTGGTGGGGAAAAAAAAAATTTGAACGCAAGGTTGCTGACCAAGTTGTCCCTGTTGTTCCAGAAACACTGTTCCTCTTTAACCTTCCAAAACGGTAACATAAGAGGAACGATACTCCTTCCACTGCAATTTCAGTATCTACAAATATGTTTCCCCAAAAAAATACTCATTTCCCACAGCATTGATATAAGCAAAACAAAATAAACAGGATTCAAACCAGAACACTCTCGTAATATCCAACCTTATTTTTATGAATTTGACTGAATCTTCACACCACTCGCTCACCTTGACGGAGCTATGGTGGCGAGTTTGAAACCAGACAAAGAGAAAGACGGAGATCTCTGAGTAACGGAACGTGAATGTTGGTAGATAACCCCAAATCTGATTGGCTCCCGATTATGTTTGGCTTCAGATTCATATATTTTACAATGTTATTTTCGTTCTTTTGAACACAATTTCTAATTAATATTTTATTTTCAACCAAACATATATTTTATAAAATTTATTTAATTTTCTCGGTAAAATTTTTTATAATCAAATAATTTCTTTTACATTTTTCTATCAAATTCACTTTCTAACTATTTTTTTAATAATTACATTTCTCTAGTATTTAAAAATTTTCTCCTCAACCAAACGCCACCTAAAACAATTGTATTTGAACAGTTATAATATAATAAGGGAATTACTTTTCTTATGTTACATAAAAAAAAATTTATCTTCTACACTCACATTTTTCAAATGGGTCTCATAAGATTTTTTTTCTTTTACTTTCAACTTTTTTTTCTCTCCTAACTATTGTTTGAGCATGAGATAATATTTCTCAGTCTTCTCTTATGCAACATAAGAAAAGTATTACCCATATAATAAACATACAAATTTTCTTTCATTAAGCATAATTTATATTTATAAATTTTTTGTTTATAAACTCTTACAAACTACATTATGTATTTTCGGAAATGCATTCTTAACCGAGTCTATTCTCGATCAGAGGCAGACCCAAACAATTTTATTTATGTCTGCACATTTAGGGATGGGGTTTGGAGACAATGCCGCTGATTTTTTTTTTTAAAGAAAATTTTAAATGTATTAAAAATAAAAGAATATAAACAAAAAAAGAAAAAGAAAACTTGAACTTACTACACAAATAAAGTACCTTTTGGGTCCTCAACAAAAATCACGGAACCTAATTTAATCTCTTAGAAAAAAATTGACTTGTGATCTCTCTAAATTTCAAAATAGATCCATGTTAATCTTTTTGAGAGATTAATGTAGGTCTTCTTTGAATTTCAGAAGAACCACGATTTCGATTAACCGGGTCTATTTTGGAATTTAGAGGGACCGAGAGTCGACTTTTTTTTTCCTAATAGATTAAATTGGGTCATGTAATTTTAATTTTTGTTAAGTACTCAATATATATATTCAAAAATTTATGTGTGCTCTTGCACACATTTGCACCAAAATAGGTCCGTCAATGTTCCCGATAATACATAGTTGAATTTGTAAGAATTTATAATTTTTTTTTATAAATATAATTGATATGCATTCAGCATATAGGGAAATCTAAGCCAAAAAGAGAAAGAATGTTGATTAATCTTAAGCAAAAAGGGCAAATATTACTGTTGATCTGTTAAAATCTCAATCAGAGATTATATATTGATTTTGTGTTGATTTCGTAGGAAAAACAGACAAACTGGAGCTAAAAAGGAAAATTGCTAAACTGAAGGCCCACGCTGAGAGCGTGGGTATGACGCTGAAAGCGTGAGAAGACATTTTCTGACAGAGGAATCCACGCTACTAGCGTGGGATTCACGCTAGTAGCGCCAGAGATCAAAAACAGGCAGAAGCTACCACGCTACTAGCGTGAAACTGACGCTAGTAGCGCCAGATTCTCAAGCAGCCCACGCTTGAAGCGTGGTAACCACGCTAGTTGCGTGGGGCTCCAAGATTCTGAAGAAAAACTCCCATGCTCACAGCGTGGGAACCACGCTAGTGGCGTGGGAGGTGCGGACAATCAGCATTAAATCCCTTTTTAAATCAGAGACAAGATTGCACTGAGATTGCGACAAGGATTAGATCAAGATTCTACACAAGGTCAAAAACTCTATAAATAGAGACTCAGACCTCAAGAGGAAGAGAACTTTTGCGCAGAGAGAGATTGACAGATGCAGAACGCAGAGCAAACTTCTTCTCCAATTTTCTGGTGTTTATTTATTTATGAATTCTTTTCAATACTTTGAATTGTTAGACATGAATATGTCTGGCTAGTTTTTATTATTGTGGTAAGGGTCACAACCTTTGATGTGAACCCCTTGTAGTTTGGTTAAATTTATATTTAATTATTTTAAATTGCATTTATTTTATCCTGTTCTTCATCTTTTAATACTTTTAGAATTGATCACTCTATTAGGATTGCGAGGGTTAGGGTTTTCAATAGGAATATTGGAATTCTAGTTCCTGACAAGAGTAAAATAACAGTTCATGTATGCACTAGGAATAGGCTACATGAACTGCAAACGTGAAAAATTCACTGGGTTAAAGGATTAACTTGAAAAAGAATTTGTAAGGGCTTAGGATTCTAATAGGGTTAATAAAGTTAAGATTACTAAGGGATTATGACTTAACTAACCAATTAATAGATGGTGAATTGTTTGATCAATGAATAATTAAATGTAAATATTAATTAATATTACAAGGTGGGGATCAGAAAGGTGTTGACGTCCTTTATTGCAATAGTTTTTTAAATATTTTTCTCAACTTTAATCTTTTATTCTCAAGTTCTCAAAATCATCTTTGAATTATTCACAAGTCTTGAATAATTCTCAATTTTTACAATCACAAATATTCTCAAAACCAATTTTATTAATCCAACAAGAAAGGAATAGTTAAAATAATTTTGGTGCCTCAATCCTCGTGGAGACGATACTCTACTTACCCTTTTATTACTTGGTACGATCGGTGCACTTGCCGATTCTACGCAACAATAATCTTATCCGAAAACTATTGTGTTTCGTAGCTTCTAGATGTCTAAATTTCAATGGTTTAAACATTTTTTTTTTTTTGTATAAGTAAAAGTTTAAGTGGGGTTAGACATCGGTATCTCACTAGGATCAGGGAAGACCCCAACCTCATTGAGAATTTCTGGGAGAGATTACATATCACTCACCAACAAAGTCCTCACATCAGCCAGCGGAGTTTGAACCCACGCCCTTGAGGAGTATGGACCAAAACTTTAACCAACTGTATCCACCTTTGTTGGCAATGATTTAAACATATTAACCTGCGTATTTTGACTCATTTCTATATAGGAAGTCACTTAAAGACTTAAAGTTAACAAAAAATATATTTGTTTAATAAATTTTGTGCAGTTAATTTATAATTATTTCATTATGTTGGGTTTCTATAATTTTGAAATCATATAAGTGAAATAATTATTTTTATAATTTTGTCAATTGAATGGGTTCATGCGAGTTACCTTATACTTTGTCCTCCTTTTGGAATGGTGGTCGACATGCTTCACTTGACCTAACTAATTTGTTAATAAAAAATTTATTCCAACAAAATTTTATCTCGATAATTTATTAAGGTTTAATGTTTATGTTTTTTTTACAAAAAAATTTCTCTGTTACACTCACATAAAAGTAAGTGAGTCCTATTATATGTGATGACAGATAAATTTTTTCTACAACAAAACCAAAAACCTTTTTCTCATTTATTTTAAGCCTGTTTGGCACTTTTTTTTTTAAGTTACAAGCTAAATAAAAGAACTTTAAAAATAAAGTTACAAACTATTTGATGATTACATAAATTTTTTAACTTGGAAGCTCTTTTTATTATAAGAACTTTTATAAAAATCTGTTTGGCCTAACTTCTATTTATAAGAAGAAAAATTAAAGAAAAAAAAGATTTCCCAAACATGCATTTATTTTTATTTTTTTTAGGACCTTTTCTTTGATCTTATTCATGTCTTTCTTTTTTTTTCTTTTTCGTCGTGTAGTTTTTTCTACCTTAAAATACCATGGAGACGTTTAACATGCTCCATGCTCCCCAGTCCCCACGTTGACCTAGTTTTCATTGCCTAGCCATTAAGTTCTCTAAGCTTAGCTAGAACGGCAACCCTAGCCCAATAATAATAATAATAATAATAATACATTTTAGTGCTTATCAATATATAGTAATTTCAAAAATGGCAGAAGAAAAATTAGGGGTAGTAATTTGGGTAGATAAGATATGATACGAATTTAAAATTAAGTTAGAATCTTTTGCATCAACACCATTCGTTTATTTTGTGCTTGACATAATATGATACTAATAATTTGTAAATTCATAGTGTGTTGTTAATTATGTAGAACATTATAAAATTCAAATTTTCTGTAAAAAAGATTAATGTG